TGTGACCCAGAGTACATCATCATTCAGTAGGCAACTCTTTACACTTACCCTGTATGTGACCCAGAGTACATCATCATTCAGTAGGCAACTCTTTACACTTACCCTGTATGTGACCCAGAGTACATCAAATTTCAGTAGGCAACTCTTTACACTTACCCTGTATGTGACCCAGAGTACATCAACATTCAGTACGCAATTATTTACACTTACCCTGTATGTGACCCAGAGTACATCAACATTCAGTACGCAACTATTTACACTTACCCTGTATGTGATCTAGAGTACTTCAGCAATTACTAACAACTCTTTACACATACATGTAATCTAGAGTAATTCAACAATCAGTAGGCAACTCTTTGATTTACACTTGCCTTGTATGTGACCTAGAGTACACGAATAGTCCTTGGAAAATATGGGAGTTCTATATAGCCATACAGCACACTATGGGGCTAGTTTATCTTGTCCAACACTCTCTTGGAGTTCAGTTGGATGGGTTGAAAGCGAGAGCACTTTTTTTTTGTATAATGTGTATGGGTCCGTGTTGGTTGGAATGCATTTTACAATGCACAAACAATCCTTGTGCAAACCACTCCGATGTAATGGATTGCGAATTCGGCCCTAAGAGGTGAAACATACACCTCCCCTGAGGTAGATACATTTAGTGTTGCATATCTTCCAACATGTCTCGTCATTTCAACACGCTCGCCAGTAAAACATGGAGTTGAAATATGCCTTGAACTTAAGCAGAATATGACTTGCAAGTAGCAATTCTATACTATACAGAGGGCTATTCGAAATCAAAGCATGTCATCTTCTCTTTACCCACTATGTTAAATCACTACTTTGGAGCACATCATCAACACTGCGCGTATACGACACGATACTGTGCTATTGCTTATGTTAACTAACACGTCCAAGATTATTTACAGCAGTTAAATCTACACTTCAACTCATTTTTTTTGGGGGGGATGCGATGAACCATTTAGACCATTAACAACAGATATTCTTTGAATATAAATCTTACGGATTAAGAAGTGTAAATGTTGAATAATATCTATTAATGATTCACGTATTCTATAAGCAAACTTTGAATCATACTTAAGCTTAAATGATGAGATAATTTCACCCCAATGCAAATCGTCATTTTACTGATAATCAGTATTCTGGTACTTAGGATCAATACTGTACAGAGGTTTTAGTTTCGGTTTTGATATGTTTCGCTAATTCGATCTACCAAAACTTGCAAAATGTGTGAGGAAATGGCGAGGCATAATGCAGACAAAATAAACATTACATCGAAAACTCAGCTTCTACCTGCATTGAGTTTTTAGAATTGCATTATGTGTCAATTTACTATTTTTCGTAAAAAAATGCTTACTGGTTTTTTATACTAACTCCTATATAAAACCCAAATTTTCCTTTCATTTTATAGAATTTTGTAAAATCTCAAGTACATAAGAAATAATATTTTTTACTCACTGTCATTTCATACTCCGTTCATCTTAATTACTTAAAATATTGGAACGAGATGTTTTATTTACTTTAACATTTTATAGTAATAATTTACAAGTTTGTTCTCTTGTTAAAACTTGAACTGTATATATCCTCTCGATTGGACAAATCAAAATATACATTTACAACGGTCAGGAAGTTATTTTTTAAGTCCCAAAGACCTCTGATTAACAAAACTATTAAACTACAATTACTTAGAGACAAGATAAACAATCATTGAGATAGTTACCTTCCAGACTACATGTTGGACATCGGTCAGAGTTGAAGATACAAGAGTAGCAACGTTCATGGCCACAAGTGTCAATGAGACGTCGTTTCCTTCCTTTGTCAAAAAACATATGACACGACGGACACCTGGGAATGCTAGGATCTACAGTCATAATCATTCTCTTAACTGACTGTATATCTAAGGAGAAAAAAAAGGAATTATACCAGTTGAAAGTTAAGGAAAATAAGTTGTACAATTAATTGATTAAAAATAATACTTTTGGCTAGCTTATTTTAGTGAAATTCACACATTTAGAGACGGTTGCCAAACTAATGGATAATTTGGTGAACATCAACATCTGTAACTTGATTTTATTAACTTTTTTTGTGAAAGGCCATTTACCCCAAACATCTAGTCATTCGGCAAGTCGCCTTTTTGCTAGAATGTAGCCTAACAAAATCTACACGGTCATAAAAGCGAGTAACGTCTGCTTGCTAGACACGGTTGACAGAAGAGATAGCGCAAAATAAATGATGGGGAATTTGAACTACTCAGCACCACTACAATTAGGTATGTAGAAATGTTCATGTAAGCATCTAACACTAGTCAATTCGGTGGTTTGTTGTGCTCCATCTTTATTAAAAACTACTGTTACTAAAATCCCTTCTAATCTAATGACCCGTGATATTTTACTTACTGTTTAGTGAAGTAGAACTTACGATAAACACAACATATTTAAATCAGGAACGATTTTACTTTTATCAACCAACAGCGGAAGAACAAAACCAGAGTCAACTGTTCCATTGTTTAGCTGAAAGTTCATTATGAACAAAGTTACAGAAACTAAGATAGAAAAGAAGTGTTAGTTTTTTATTTGTTGAAATGAAATATTTCTGGGAATTATTAGAATGAAGCAATAGAAAAATAAACGTAAATGGTTTTGTAAATTGTAAAAAAAAATAATATTTTGCCATTTTGTCGTTATACTTATACCACCTTAAATCTCACTGTGTGTTTAAAATAACTTAAAGGGTTTGTTATTTCTATGACAGTGTAATGTGAAATATATAACATGCTTCATATAAATATTATACACAGATGTTCCAGAAATATTCACTTCTGATTGAAAGCGCTATGAAAATACATGAACCAGTAGGACAGCCTTACCTGTGGCTAATTTGCAAACGCACTTCATACACACAAACATACACACATGTGTATCCTGTTACTTGTTTCCAGCTGTTACCAATCTCACACACGACACAGCTTGTGACGATATTAAACTTTCTATCACGTCTAGATACAGCAGACACGCCTTTAAATAAATGAAAACAATAATATACCTAAATAAATAAAAACAGTTAACGAAATCCGACAAAAGTCCACGCAGATACAAGTCCAGCGAACTTATATGCTGGGGATAGGTCTTTCAAACTGACGCGATGAATGTTTGATCCAAGACGTTACGAACATAAATAGTTTCTCATGTAGCAGGCGTATGTTTAAACATTTAATATACTTCCACCAACACTACAAAATTGATGGAAATCGGACACGCATGATATGTCTAAGACATGCTGGTGTAATATACTTTGGATCCACATACTGTTCAAATTGTCCTAAAATACGTTTAAATTCTATTGTTTGGCTAAAACAATACTCACCATAATCAGTTTGTTGTAACAAAGCAGAAATATGCAACAAAGGGTGTTGAACAGCTGAAACAGATCCATCATCTACATCACAAGGTTATCAGTGTTTTTATATTATTACTTTATATGATCTTTTTGGAAATATCAGTAAAGGGGGAGAACAAGGTTCTTTTTGTTGTCTCGTTTACAAATTCATCAACATACTGTACTGGAAGACATCGATAATACGTTATGAACCAGTTAGCTCACTACTGCCAACAGTGGCACAGCGGTATGTCTGCGGACTTACAACGCTAGAAACCGGGTTTCGATACCCGTGGTGGACAGAGCACACATAGCCCATTGTGTAGCTTTGTGCAAAACAAACAAACAGTTCACTACTAGCAATAATTTATTTTTCAATTAATAATATAGATTTTTTTCGTCTTGTTTAACTAACATTTAACGCTTCATTGACACGAAAATGAAGCGTTAAGCTTAGCATTTGTTTTTAAACGAGTTTTAGAAGCAGCCAAACTATAGTTTAATTTTTTATATTACACAGTTCCAAAACATTTTCTTTATAACAACTGTATAAGTTATACCTAAACCATTATTTCACAAGTCTGTGTCTATGTTCGCTTATAACTGGCGAACCGTTGGACCGATTATTACTAGATCTCACGTGTACTCTTAGGGACCCCATCCAGAGATATAGGGTGTCGACGTTCTGAAATGATGCCCTCGTGCCACCCCAAAAGTTTCCCCGGGCGTTGAACAGGTAGGTCAGTGAGTTATAATATAATTTTATGAGTGTAGATGTTGTTATTATGATTTTTATATGGTCCTATGATAATGGGCCATCTAAAATGACATCATGATAATAAAAAACCTCGTAGTTTGCAGTTCCTTTCTATCTCATATGCAAACGCTCACACGAAATAACAAGCTATATTAATTACAGGATTAAGCGTTCCAGACTTTACTCTCCTAACATTGTATAAATACTCACGTTTCAAAACGTATGAAGCAATATACAGCAGATGGTTTTTACGAACGCACACTAGTAACAATTTGTGTTGAGAAAACGAACACATGTTAGTAAGAAACGCACTTGCTGTTTTAGACAGAACTGAGCTGTTCACACTGGATTTAACCAATGGGAAATTCACGAACTATTAGGCTTACCACATTATCAGTATCAGTGTGATTCATAAAGCTATCAGAGTAAAAAGAAATGATAACTTAGAATTACTTGAAACACGAAATCAGAAGTGAAACCATTTATTGTAATAATTTTTCACTGTTTGAGTGATTATGTATGAAATAACATATTGATAAGAAAACTTAAATAGTACTTGTGTAAAATGTTTCGTGTAAGTTACGAGCTTAACCTGATTTTTGAGAAATTATCAAATTTAGAGATATAAGCAACTCACTCAAGGGCTATCTGTATATTCAACTTGTAGTGAAAACGTTGGAAAATGGACAGCTTTAAACTTGAACAGCCTGTCAGGTTCGTTGTTATATAAAGCAGGTTTTTCTATACCATTAGCTGAGGCATATGTCATTTTAATTTGTAATAACTTCTCTACAGATCTTTAAAATGGGATCTGTCTTATGAGATATGGTATATCTCTATCATTTTCAACTTGCAATATTTTACAGCTATTTTTAACAACAAACTTGACAGTTAATTCTGTTTTTTCTCTCTCTCTTGTTTGATCTTTAGTGAGTTTGTTTATTTGCTTGTAATTAAGCACAGAGCTATACAATAGACTATCTGTGCTTTGCCCACAGCGGGTATCGAAACCCAGTTTCTAGCGTTGTAACTCCACAGACATACCGCTGTGCAACTGGTGGGTAAAAAAACTTACGATATTTTTATTTTGTATTGATGATGTAATTGTTTGTTTTAGAGCAAAGCCACATTGGGCTATCTGACATGTCCCCCCGCGGAAAATCCAACCCCAGACTTAACGTTGTAAGTCTTAGACTTATTGCTGTCCCTTTAGTGAGAGAAAATAAAGCTGCATTCATATTCAGATTGATGTTGTGTAGACAAAGTTTCTTTTGTTCTTTATACCTTTTTTCAAGTCTCGGAAATTAGACAGGCTAGTTTTCTTGTAGAAAGGTTTTAATTTCTACTCAAAAACTTTCATTGATCTGAATATAATACCCAATACTAAAAAGATTGCCATTTTTTGAAACAATCCTCACCTCTCCCTTCCCCCACCCAAAAAAACAAACAAACAAAGAAGCTCAGTGTGTATAGGTTTGTTTGTTTGTTTGTAGTTAAGCACAACGCTACACAATGGGCTATCTGTGCTCTGCCCACCACGGGTATAGCAACCCAGATTCTAATGTTGTAAGTCCGCAGACATGCCGCTGTGCCACTGGGTGATCAGCTTACTGAACTATATATCTACGGGCTCAGAAGAAAATAGCTCCATATTTTGTGGACATGGGAGTGTTATAAAAGTGTCAGTCCCACTATCTAGTCAAACAAAAGTAGCGCAGGTATTGGCAGTTGATTCTGTTGAATGGTTGCCTTTTCTCTATTCTAAGAGTTCAAAATTAGGTAGGGATAGCGCAGATGGTTCTTATGTAGCTTGGCGTGAATATCCGAAAAACAAACAAACGGAAAATACAAGCATTATTAATTTGTAGTAATAAACAATGAAATTAAAGAATAGTAATAATTAGAAAAAATATATACTTTTTGTGTGCTTACACAACTCAGAATGATATGCAGAAACTGGGCTGCGGGTCGAAAGGTCCAAGCTAACTTCGAACTCGCAATATGATATTGTATACACTATATTTTACTTATAAACTGCAGAGCTATACAATGAACATTCAGCTGCTACCAAGAAATTGGAGAATACAAGCCAAGAAAGAGGCAGTAGGCCAAAATATACCATACAAGGCTAGGACAGAATACTAGCCAAGATATCCAAGGCAAAAAAATATATTATTGTTCCGGAACGTATACAGAATTGGACTGAAAACACTGGTGTTAATGAGTACAATAATACAACAAGACTAAAGCAGGAAAGCAGAAGATTTTGTGGGGAAAGTTGCAGCTAAGAAACCTTTTATGAGCATCACAAACATAAAAAAAGGCTCTATAACGTCTTTTATCCGTAATGCGTTAAGCATTTGCTTGTATTTGCTCCTGTATTCTATTATTAGCTGTAGTACCCGACCCCTGGACGGAAGTTATGTAAATTCAAGATTAATGAAAGGTTATCTTAGGACATGAAAAATTGCTTTCCTTATGTGCAATTGTCAAAAACCGTAAAAACGCCCATAAAAACAGCAAAACATAAAATGTAAAAAGCACAAATTTGTATGTATCTCCGCATGGACCCAACAAATCTTCATGCCAAATTTGACGAAGATCCATCAACAGGGAGCGAAATAGTGGTAAAAAATGCCCATACAAACTGCAAAACTGAAAATTTGTATGTATCTCTCCATGGACCCAAAAAACCTTCATGCCAAATTTGGTGAAGATCAATCAAAAGGGGCAAAGTAGTGCTAAAAAACGCAAAAAAAACACAAAATGCAAAACTGAAAATTTGTATGTTTTTCTCCATAGATCCAATGAACCTTTATACCAAATTGGGTGAAGATCCATCTACAGGAGGTGAGGTAATGGTAAAAAATCGCGAAAATCGCAAAAACGTTCATAAAGACTGCAAAACGCAAAACTGAAATTTTCTATGTACCCCTGCATGGACCTAATGAACCTCCATACCAATTATGGTAAAAATCCGTTCACATCCTGTGAAGTAGTTACATGGACATACAACAGACAGTACTATTATATTTATATAGATGCACCGTTTGTTTGTTTTTTGAGTGTACTTCATGCAATGTTCATCATACTGTACAATTAATGATTGCTAGGCTACGTTTTTCAAAATAGATCATTTTGTTTTGGTTGATGGGCTTGGAATAAGATCAAACCGGTTGTTCCTTGAAAGCTTTTTAAGTTGTATTTTTTTTGGGGAGGGGGGGAATTATTCTAGATTGTCTCGAATAGGAAACGACTATGTTAATTATAATATGAACAACAAAATTTCGTATCGCTATTTGCATTTTCTTATTACCTACATATTCTAGACTGTGCGTATCTTTCATGTTACTAATTTTGAAGTTGTATTTACATGTACGAAATTGGTTTCTGATTTTGTAGCGGATTGTTCTTATTTCGTCAGTTGTTGTTTTTTTTATAGATTTTTACAGACACCAAGTTTCCTTGACGCAATCCAGATGGCGTGACTTCTAGTGCAGGAATGCACTTTTTTTGAATGGTTAGATAAACATCGAACTTTCGATTGTTTGTTTTTTGACGATTAGTATAACATTCAAAACATATACTTATTTCCTTCTTTGAGATGAGACAGTATAAACGCAATAGAGAATAGATAGAACTGATGAACACAAGTTAGGTTTTTGAGCTTCATTTCTGCAAATCGCAGATGTCGTACCTGAACTGCAGAAAAGAAAGGAGGACAATTGTTTCGTCTCTTATTTTACTAGAGTTTCTATTATGTATTCAGTCTGACATTCTCATTAAATGAATCGCAATAATTACCTAAAGTGTTGATTTTTCCAATTTTGTACCGAATTACATTGAATTTGCCAGCAACTGGAATATGTAATTTACTCAATCAAAGTAACACAGTTTCTCAGTATTGGGAATTTTACGTGCATTGAGTTGTTGTTTTATTTTGCTGATTGAAGGTTGTTCACCCGTCAAGAAATTCACTCTTTTGTCTTAAAAATGAAAATACAAATGTACGAATATCAGAGATCGAATTAATTTTCATTGGCCATGAGCGAATCTATCTATTTGTTTGTTTTTAATTATGCACAAAGCTACACAAGGGCTATCTGTGCTCTGCCCACCACGAGTATCGAAACCCGGTTTCTAGCGTTGTAAGTCCGCAGACATAACCGCTGTGTCACTGGGGGGCAAATCTTTCTATAGATCTTTCTTTCATATCTCTGTTACTACCCCTCGGAACAATGGCGTAACGTTGCTTTACAACGCGAGAAAGCCACTTCGTAAGCTTATAAAATGTAAATGAAAGGGTATTTATCAGAAATAAAAAAAACAGTCTTTTAGCTGTGACCCCATTATTAAGTTAACTACTTAACCACTTTTGAAATGGGTTAAAATAAATTTGAGGAACTTTGATAATATTGTACTTACTTGAAAAAAAAAAGAGAACACAACGAGCGAGTAACTATACTTTCAATGTATTTTTAAAGAACTTGAATAAATTCGTGATTTCAAGTTGATTATACAAACAATGTATCCCTGTAGTTGTTCGCAAACTTTCGAGACCTTGAATTGAAACATACTAAGTCACTGCTTATTATAAATCGTCAACAAAGGAATCTTGGAAAAAAGCCAATTTTGTCTGTAAAATATCCAAACATTTTAGTAGAAAAAATATAGTTTTCAAAGGCAAGTTTGCTAGATATGGTTAAGCAGCAGAGAGTGAAATTATTATGGAAAAAAAAACAACTTTGGAAGTAAGTTATTTCGTGACACAATATGAAGTCCTCCAGATCGAGGTAAACATTTGGAACTTCAAAGTGCTTCTATTAGAAGTTAACAGTAACCATATGAACTTAATGGGATATTTTGAGTTAAAAAGTGCTAGTATCAGTGTTGCTGAAGGATTGATAGAAAGAAGTTTATATTAACCTACATTCGGAGAATAATACGAGAAACTATATCACCGTTAACTCGATTTACAA